AATATACCGACACTGAAAATTCCTACAGTGTTAATATACCGACACTGAAAATCCCGACAGTATCATTATTTGACATAATCGTAAAACAACGAGACGTCGACGAGAAAATAGAATTTTGACGGTTATAATTGTCCGACAAAACAAAACAACCATGAATTATCTTTGCAGAATAGCTCATACTGTTTTATTTTCTTTTCAATTAAGTTTTTGTTCTCAATTCATAACTGTATATCTTATGTATGCATATTATAGATCATTTCAACTGGATTCTTTTCTTTCCAGAATACAACCTAAGTATACAAATAAATGTGGCGCATTGACAAAATCCGGAAAAATGTTTGGAATTTGAATACTGTCGGGATTATGTTTGTAAGGATTTTCACTTTGTCGGGATTTCAAATGTCGAAAATTTGATTGTCGGGATTTCAAATGTCGGGAATTTGATTGTCGGAATTTCGATATAGACGCGTATCGTGTAGTTGTTATATATTATCTAGTTATGGTATCTTCCAGTTTGTGATTGGAGATTCGCGCGGTGGTATTCGAGCAATTTGCGGTTGCGACCGGCGGAACAATAAATCAATTGGTTTTCTAATTATATTTAACTGACGATTTTATCTGGTGGTAATTGAAGGGGAGCCCTAATAATACAATTTGAGCGTACGCAGGTAATTACCGCGAGCAGAAGAGCATAAACAGCGCTCCGTTGTTGGAGATGAAGAGGAGAAAGAGAGTAGATGGAGAGAAGAGCGCGTACACACATACATTCTTGTAGACCTATGACCCGTCAGGTAAGGTGGGTTAATTATCGATCCTGACAGATTAATGATTGTATTTATACTCGACCATATGGTTAGGTCCACCATGAGAAATGGGCCGATAACCATAGGCCGCGGTGCGGCATGAATTACACGCGCCGATTTTATTTTCTTTTTTGATTTCATCTTATTATTATTATTATTGTTATTATTATTATTATTGGCGAGAAATTCCGCGCTCGGATTTATCGTTTACCTTTGTGAGAAAGTCGTCGATGTCCTGGATCTCGTATCCGAACTTCTGCACGACGGTCCTCGTCGATCTGCCGCTCTTCCTGCGATGCCTATGCCTCTTCTCGCCGAAAGCCAAATTTGGCTCGGATTTGGTCCTAGCTATCTGCGGCCCCTGCGTCTTCACCATCCTGCAGCCCTGCTCCGCGCTGCATCCACCCTTCGGACCTTCGCTTTGGTTTACGCTGTTGACTTTCTGGTAATCCTTCTCGATGCTTTTCCTGCGCGTCTTGTGGTACTGGAACTTGATGGGCTGCTCGGGGTTCGGGTTGTGCGTCCTGTTCTGACATCTCAGGATCCATATCAGCGGCAACTTCGGTTTGTGCGCCGACGGCTTTTGGCCCATGTTATTTGCGAAGCCTACCGAAAACAAATAACAAATACATAAGTTCCAGATTCTTCAGCAACAACATCGTATTATTGTTTCATCGCTTTTATCTCAGTTCGTTACGTCTATTCGTCACAAAGAGCAAGAAAGAAAAAAAACGGCTTCATGCTTCAGTAAAGTATAATTAACCGGAAAGCTTAATAACGTTCCTTATTTATCGTCATACCTGATCGCATCCAATAGTTTCTCTACTTTTAAATTGGAAAAGCAACGACAACAACAAAAAAACTCACCATTCAATTTACTGCAATTTTTGTCATCGAATCATTGAAACATACCTGAGCAACATCTCAGATTTACAATCATATAACTAGAACCGCGTTTCTCGCTGAAATTAGCAATTTCGAAAGTGATGATCTTAGATCACGTTAAAAATAGAGTTTGACGTTTTAAGGTCATGCACATACTATACTCATAGTAAGATTACCATGGTTATAAGGTATTAATAAAAAAAATGAGCGATGGACATAATGATATGTTCGTATAAATATGAATCGTTGCTCAAGGGGGCTTCGACATTAAGTGTGTCTTATGAAACAGAAGAATGTTAATACAAAAAAAAACACATATATTTCTATTAGAGTTGAATCTGGTTCTGTTCATCTAATGCGAAGGAATTCGGTCTCGCATGGATAGAAGTAATTGGCGCAAATCAATTATAAGATCGTCGTTACGCTTCGTAATATTGGCGGATTTCAGAGGTGTTCGTAAAAATATCTGAACGAACGTCTTCATTGGAGGAAAACGCGTAATTATTCGCCGTATTTCTCCTTGATTTATCTCGTACCATTATTATGTCTTAATACAGTTAACATGTTTTGATCTACGGTTTCCACATGTGTCTCAACCGCACTCAGATCTCTTCCTTATTGACTCTCCTCCTCCTCTGCTCAATCTTAAATTGTATATATTTATCGCGTATTTACATAGGATTTGCATGATTCCCATTCACCTGAATATTCATGCCGATCTGCAAGTCTTCGAAGAGCAATGAAAGTGCACATACAAATTGCAAATTTCAGTTATGTCATAATTCTACAATTAATTTTATGTCTAAATTAATTGTTAAGTTCGCAGACTTTGGTGAATTTTAAGCGAAAATAAATAATTTATGACATGAAAATCACATTTATAATAGTGATTTTAATCACGAAAGTGCACTCGTTTATTAAATATTAGTGAATAATTTATTGTAATTAGTTTTAGGTTTAATTAATAATAAATTCAATATAATATTTAAATGTATGCATTAATTAATAGAAAACAATTTTTTTTCAAAAACAATTTTTATTGCTCAAGTTTGATATATTATTACAGAAGAACTGTGCATACCACAAATCTTGAAGAATGCTCGTTAGAAAGGTCATAGTTTTGTCTCGTATTTGCGCCATGAAACATCAAGTTAGTTCCTGCTATTACAAAATAATTAAAGTAAAAGTGATAAGGAAAAAAATAATTTCAAAAATTATCATATCTCAGTTATTAATTAATTAGTAATTGTTCAGATGATTACATAATCTTGTAGTTAGCTCATTATGAAAGACATAATTTTGTTTTTAATTTGCATATTTAATAATGTAATTAGTGTATATTATTAACTTGATTATTAAACAAATCGTGAATACAATTTCAGCATATGACAACTCGTGCTGTCATATTTGACAGCTCGTGTCAGATGAATAAATGATTGAACCAATCTGCGATTAGGCATAGAATGAAGAACATATACACCAAAAATTTGGTAATAGGCTCATTAGAAAGGTTATGGTTCAACTTTAATATGCATATTTGATTATGTTAATCGTTGTTAACATAATAATTAAACAAGACGTGAATATGATACATTTTCAGCATATGACAACTCGTGCTGTCATATTTGACAGCTGGTGTCAGATGAATGAATGATAGAACCAATCTGCAATTAGGCATCAAATGATGAACAAATACACTACACATTTGGTAATAGGCTCATTAGAAAGGTCATAGTTCAACTTTACTATGCATATTTGATTATGTTAATGGTGTATGTTGTTAACTTAATAATTAAACAAGACGTAAAGATAATACACTTTCCGCATATGACAACTCGTGCTGTCATATTTGACAGCTGGTATCAGATGAATGAATGATAGAACCAATCTGCCATTAGGCATAAAATGAAGAACAAATACTCCACACATTTGGTTATAGGCTCATTAGAAAGGTCATAGTTCAACTTTAATATGCATATTTGATCATGTTAATGGTGTATGTTTTTAACTGAATAATTAAACAAGACGTGAAGATAATATATTTTTAGCTCGTATTATATACTGATATATTTGACAGCTCGTGTCAGGTATATGAATGACAGAACCAATCTGCGATTAGGCATAAAATGAAGAACAAATATACCACACATTTGGTAATCGGCTCATAAGAAAGGTTATGGTTCAACTTTAATATGCATATTTGATAATGTTAATCGTTGTTAACATAATAATTAAACAAGACGTGAAGATGATACATTTTCAGCATATGACAGCTCGTATTATATGCTGACATATTTGACAACTCATGACAGATGAATGAATGATAGAACCAATCTGCAATTAGGCATCAAATGAAGAACAAATACACCACACATTTGGTAATAGGCTCATTAGAAAGGTTATAATTCAACTTTAATATGCAAATTTGATCATGTTAATGGTGTATGTTGTTAACATAATTCTTAAACAAGACGTGAAGATGATACACTTTCCGCATATGACAACTCGTGCTGTCATATTTGACAGCTGGTGTCAAGAACAAATACACCACACATTTGGTAATAGGCTCATTAGAAAGGTCATAGTTCAACTTTACTATGCATATTTGATTATGTTAATGGTGTATGTTGTTAACTTAATAATTAAACAAGACGTGAAAATAATACACTTTCAGCATATGACACGTGCTGTCAATCAATGACAGAACCAATCTTTCATTAGGCATAAAATGAAGAACAATTAATGCAATACGTCGACATTGTCTGTATGAATGAAGGAGGAGCAGGTACTTCATTCTTGGAAATAGATTGCTAATGGTAATTTATTTACGTGCTTATATAAATCGAATATATATATTGTGTGTACGTTCGAGCGTAGTAGGTAATACGAAAACCGTTCAGTTCGATGTAATAACTGCACATTTTTATATACATATAATATCCAATTAACTGTAAAAGGTATGCACGTATGTATGTATACATAAATGCAGCGCGTTAACAATAAATTGTAGCACTTTCCAATGCATTTAACAGGAACCGAGAAGAATCAAAACATAATAAATAAACAAACCAACAAAAAGTGTAAAAGAGGAAAACACAATGAGAGCGAGGAGGCAATTTCAATAGATTACGTGTTTTGCAGAAAACGACGTTTCCATCTGACACGTACGTAACGAACACTCTTCGTGGAATTCTACGCGAACTTCCAGGATTACATAATTTCGTATTTATCTATGTCAATGGTAATTGTTAACTCGTGTAACTCTTCGCATCAACATAACAAACATGTTCGTTATTCTCATTTTGTTATTGCTGTTAATTTTTTGTTGTTGTGCGTGCAGAAGATGATTGAAGAAGGAATGTGTCACTTGCGCGGAGAGTTATTCCCATTATAAATTATTCAGAGTGCAGCAGTATCGATCCATAAGCGATCTTCGAATAGGCATGAAAATAAACTGTCCCTAGATGGTAGCAATGGATAATGTCTCATTCATAGGCACAACGTGAAGGCCCTATGCAATGCTCACTGTATACTGGAATGGTAAAAACGCGCATTCCCGAAAACAATTAACCAAGAGAAAGAGATGATAACAACAACGAGAAGATCTACAGGTTGGAAAAAGAGAGGATGATGATGATGATGATAATAAAACAGGACGTAATGTTTCCTCAATAATTATAAATGTTATGAACATGAGCAGAAAATAAACAACAACAAATGTCAACTGAATAAAGTCAACTTTGAAAAAAGAATGTTACAGTTTTTTTTTTCAGGAATCACTAAAAATATTTGCTTTTGATATATGTCAATAAGTAACAGTTTTTCCTATCATTTAAATACAACTGAAGAATGATGTAAATACTGAATTTAATTATAATAATTCATAGATTAAAAATTGCAATTAAAAAAAAGACTTTATTTCTATAAAGGGTCACCCTTTGGGACACCCTTTATTAAAATATCAATTTTTCTTGTTGTTAATGTTATTTTTTCTTGCTTTTAAGTGTATAAATAATAAATTTAATCATAATTCAATTGTTTTTTTTTAAATACATGTTTTTACCTTATATTTTCTATTATTCTCATTGTTGTTGTTGTTGTTATTATTTTCTATTACTTACAAATCAGTAATCTTAACTAAATAATATACAACTTGAAAGTGTATAAATACAAAATGTAGTAACAAGCTACAAATTAATATTTCAAAATTTAAAAATAAAACACGCTTTTCTATTACATTTTTTCTGTTTTTCTCATTGTTGTTGTTATCATTTTCTATTGCTTATAAGTCAGCAATTTTAACTATATTTAGATAATATTTTGATGTTGTTACTAATTATTATATTTTTTACTTATAAGTCTCTAATCTGAACTAATTACATATCCAACTGAAAACTATATAATTACTGAAGTTATTAACTAACAATTGAACTACAAATAAAAATTTCATTGCTTCCAGGACTAATTTCGTTCGCCCATCAAAAACTTGATAATTAACATTATTACTATACTACTAAATTTATTTGTTTTGGTTAATTTCAAGTAGTTTACAAGTACTTAGTGCGTAATTTTTTGTCTATATCTCAATCCCGACAACCGAAATACCGTCTATCGAAATCCCGACTATATCAAAATCTCGACAACCATAATACCGACTGTAATAGAATCTCGACATCCATAATCCCGACAAACAAAATCCCGGCTATATCAAAATTCCCACTGTATCAAAATCCCGATTATATCAAAAATTTCTACAATAACATTTTGTAACTATTTCGGAGTATAGTCACCTTGTGCTACATTTTTATTATTAATAACACAAAATTATTTAATATAGTCCGGATTTTGATATAGTCGGGATTATGGTTGTCGGGATTTCGATACAGTCGGGATTTCGATACTGTTAAGATTTCGAATGTCGGGAATTTGATTGACGGTATTTCGGTTGTCGGGCTTGCGATTGCCACCGCGTAATTTACTGTAGAATTAGACAATTAGATAATTTCTATTTAAATGTAATGTATATATATTTTCATAATTATTCGAATTATATAAATTAACAATTCACAAACTAAAATTTGCAATTCAAAAGATCTTCAATTCTATAGCAAGTTTTTTTTTACTTTTGATCATCATTATTAATTAATCGATAATTAACTTCAAGTTGTGAAAATACAAAATGTAGTAATAATTCACAAATTGATATACGAAAAGTAAAGAAAAATTCTTTTTCTATCTCATAATTTCTCTTTTTTCTGTTTTTTATTTCATTATTTTCTATTGATTATAAGTCACTAATCTTAATTAATTAATAGATAATTTGAAAGTGTATAAACACGAAAACAAATAGATATTTGCAAATTTAAAAAAAAATCTTATTTTTCTCTCATATTTTCCAAATTTTTGTTTTTGTTCCTAATTATTATATTTTATTTTTTACTTATAAGTTTTCAATCAGAAATAATTACATATTAAACTCTAAAGTGTATAAATATTGAAGGTATTTGAAATACAAAATAAGCCATTTCATAAAGTCCTCTTTCATTCTCATTTTTTTTTTCTATTTTTGTTATTATTTTTGAACCCTTTTGGTTTTTTTGATAAAAAAAAGGCAATATAGTAAACAAGATCTAATTTATAAAAAATATATTATTTTATTTTATTATTTTCAATACTTTTTATGTTTCCAATCTTAATCGAAAAAAAATGTATAAATACTAACAATTCATGAAAAAATCGTTGATATTTGCATGACGTATTATGTAATTTAATAAAAACCCTCTTCTCTTTCTATCTAACATTTTCCATTTACTCTTGTTATTTTCTGTTGCTTTTAAAGTATCCTTTAGGAATATCACGCGTATGATATATAAGTAAAGGTGAAAACGTCTGATTACCATTAAAATTGCATCCATGCAACGTGCAATTTTCTCACAAATCGATTTATGTCATAACAATTTTCCCGGTACCTCGAGCCACCAACAATCTTTTCTTTTCTTTAATCCTTACACATAAAATTGAAAGTTTCGTGGATTAACGGAATCAATCAATGAATGTTGCTCGTTCGCATGGGAATTACGCGAGGAAACGATAAATCTGCAAACTTTATCGACCGATTAATAACTGGAATTTGAATATTAATGAATGTATGAGAATAAGTGTCAGTTTCTTATCTACAATAAAGAAACCCTTTAAGAAACCTATAGTTTTGCAAACTTACAAATATTAATATCAAAAGTTTAATTGAATTATTGCATTTAGTATAAATGAATAAAATATAATTAAAAAATGTCTTTTGAAAATCGAAATCTTTAGTTAATTCGTTTTTATTAACATTTTTCAATTACAATAAAAAAATAAAGTATTTGCACTAGACTTACATAAAATACACCCAATTACGAACATATCATTTAATATACTTCGTTTTTTTATTAGATTTTTATACATTATAATGTATAGTTTCATTTTCTTTCTTTTTAAGAATTCAAGTCTGAAAAACTTAATTATATACTTGGATGACCCAAAACTAGAAAATATATCGTGTCATGTACATTTAATGTGTTTACTTGATTTTTTTCTGGGTGATAGATGATTTCGTGATGTGAAAGTTGAAATCATCTGTCGTGTTATGTGGGAAGGATGAAAATGAATTTGAATATAAAAAAAAACGTGGTTTTAGAAAGTGATAAATAAATATTCCAATTTTCGTACATAAAATATATGTAAACACAAAGTAATATATAGATATATAAAAAGTAAGGATGTGTGTATTTTCTATTCCATAATTACAGTGTTATTAATTAATTTATATACTTAAATAATTAAAGAAGTCGTATTAATTGCGAGGACAATTAAAAGTATTAAAAGTGTAGTGAATAAGTGTAATGAATTGAATTATTATCAGGCAATTAATTACTTTCTTTCAAACACATTTGCATTCATTTGAACAAATTATTTTCAAGTATTCATTAACAGAAATAAATTTTTGTTTACATGTAATTTATTTTTTACTAATTGCATTGTTTTTTATATAAAATATTTAGATCACATTGAAACTCATTAACTTTTGATAAATTAAGTATAGACTTTATGTACTAAATTTTCAATTTATTATTCATTTCTTTTAATAATTTTGTATATTAATAAAAAACAAAATGAAAAATGTGTACAAGTTTACAAAGTTTGAAGTTAATTAGAAACTTTTATCTTCAAATATTATTTAAGTAACATTTTGACTTTTCTCTTTCTGTTGTAATTCATAAATTATTATTTAGAATCAATAAACGCTGTTTTTATATATAAATTAAGATAATTTTAGAAGTTGATACACTTAAAAAAAAAGATAAATTATAAAATTTGCGTTAAACTTTTTATTTGTACTATTGAACTTCATGTATTGCATTAGATTATTTGTCATTTAATAAATAATAAACCCATAAATATTATTATAATAAGTCTATAAAAATTACATCAAAAAATGCATGAAACTCTCTTAGTAAAGTCAAAATTTATTTAATTTTCTAACAGAATTTGTATGTGTATTTGATATTTCTTTGTAATTATTAAAGAATTAATGTTTTTAATTTATTAATTGACATTAAATATTGTTTTTTTTAATAAATTTAAAAAAAAATACATCAACAAATTCTATAAAACTCACTTTTAGTAAAGATCAATTTTTACTAGATTTTTTGTGTATTTGCTTGATTTTCTTTTTAATTATTAAATGAATGTTTGTAATTTGGTAACTGATATTAAATATTGTTGTTTTAATTAATCAATCAATAAAATAAATTGATTTTTTTTTTAAATTTTCTATAAGATTTTAAGTTTGAATTTCTTTGTAATTATTAGATTGTAATGTTTTATAATTGAATAATTGCTAATGAAAATTGTTGTTTTAATAGAACTTTGAAATTTATGTGTAATAATTATATAGTACTTGTATGAAAAGTGTGCAATTTTGTAAAATAATGTATGTAAATTACGTACCTGATGTAATAAATTTTGTGGTATAATTCGCTCGGAGTTGGGCACATGTTTGTTACAATAAAAGAACTATGTTTTTCAAGAATAGGTCACTAGATGAGAGGAGAACTCGCGCTCGCGCTCCGCGGCGCGCCTTCTGCTAAAAGCAACCAAGAGTACCGCGGATGTGGTGTGCATGTGTTGTTGTTTGGATAGGTATGGAAAGATTAGGCAGGTATGGATGGAAGGAAGGAAAAGAAAAGAAAGGAGAAAAGATGGAAAGAATGAAAGGTGAACTCGTGTTTGTGTGCGGCGGTGGTGGTGTTGTGTGAGTTACGTCCGTCTCGGCAGAGATGATAAAATGGTCTGAACGGAACATTACTACCACTTGGATCCGGTACTGCACTTTAATCGCTCGCATCTCTTCTCTTCCCTTTTGCTCGCTCGCTAACTGGAAAACTATTCGCGTTTTTCTGGAAATAATGAGCCGTGTCTATCCATCCATCCATCCTTACTACCTACCTACCTCTGCCTTCCTACCTCTCACTCCAAAGAGAATATCCCATAACCAGCAGCTGCCTACTTACTGTTCCACCTCTTATCCTCGTATCACCTCACTTCAGTCCACCACACGTTCTTCAGAAGCAGGGCTGAATTGATAAAAACCATTAATTACAAATATGTACCAAAGGCCATCCGGATCTTATCTGCACCTATACATTTTTCTTCTTGCTGCTACTGCAGTCTGTACTCTATCTACACTGCAGCAATTCTTGTTGCTGCTGTTGTTGTTGTTATTCCACCTGAAGGCTAGCAAAAAGGACGTAAATCAAGTGCGATTTTCATAATCATCTCCGATAACAAATTCCCTCCCCATAAAACTAGGCATTCTTCGGGCGAAACGGATAAATCTTATCCTTTTATAGTCCCATGATAGCCGTATAAATCATCGTTCAAAACTCTTATCTCGAAGAATTCCAAACAAAAAATACATAATAAATTGAAAACAAATTAAATTCCTATTAATCTCAAATCAAATATACAATCAATTTCATTATTAAACTAATTAATTAATAAGTAATGTTATAAATGAATTAAGAATTAAAATGAAAACGAAGATGAGGAAAGAAATGTTTGTGTAAAACGTTAACAAATTGAAATTAATTAAATAATATTGATCAAAATATTGCTTTATAAAGTTGTAATATCCTGGTTTCTTAAAATTCAACAAAAATTTCTTGTATATATGAAGTTTGTATATATATATATAAGAGAGCGAGTCTTACTTTACAAGGTACAAACAAGCATTTAACATGAAATTATAGGAGATACGACATGCTCATGAATTATGCTCATGCATCATATACATAACGCATTTATTTATTTATTTATTTTTTGCTTGAAGATAATTGATCAATTGAAGATTGTTATTGTGAGAATATCAGAGTTGATCTTCGTAGATGATCGAAGAAATCGAATGAAATATACGTATTATATTTGTACATTGCATATTTTGATGAAAAACTTTGTTTTCTTCATTTTCTTATATTAATATTCGTTTTCTTTGTTTTTTCTTTTTCTTATTTTTAATATTTGTTTTCTTGGTAAATAATTATTAAAACAAATTATTAGATTAAAACAAATATTTCTTTAAATTCAGATGTCAAAGAAAAACTTTGTTTTGTATTTTTTCTAACTTTATATTGATTTTATTTAAATATAATTGATATTTATTGTGTTAATATCGGAGTTGATGTTAGTAGATGATCAAAAGAAATATGCATATTAGATTCAGAACTAAATGTTTCCTAAATTGCAGATTTTTAAGAAGAACTTCGTTTTCTTCTGCATATATTGTTGTTTTTTTCTAGAAGTTAATTAAAGTTTAACATCAATACAAGTAAGTGATTGATAAAATGACTGAAATTTTTGTTTTCGATTGAATTAAATTTGTTTTACATCTTATTTGATTATTTTCAGTTCTTTATTTTGAGATTATCAAACGGAATCTCTTTAAATAATTCACGAAGTATCAAAAATATGCATTTTAGATTGACAAAAACGTTTCTTAATTACCAAATTTGATGAAAACTCCATTTTCTTCTGTTTATTAATTTCTCGATATTAATTCATTAAATTCTACAATAATATCAATATCTTTAATAGAAATCAAAGGGATGGCAGAAATTTACTTATATTTTACGTAAAAAGTTTCTTCATTTGCTTCAATTTCTTTTATTTATCTTTATAGAATAAAATAAATTAATTAAAGTTTATTTTTTTAGGAAAAAAAAAGAGTGAAAAGAGTGAATCTTCGTATATGACGCATGATGTTAGCTTAGAACTTTACTTTCTTCTGTGAGAATGTAAGAAACGTTTCTTTAATATCAATTACTGAAAAGAACATTTTCTTTCTAATTTCTTAATTTTCTTCCATTCCAGTAAGAATGTAGGAAACATTTCTTTAATATCAATTTCTGAAAAGTAAATTTTCTTCTGATTTCTTAATTTTTCTTTCATTTCTGTTGATAATTACTAGAATATTATTGATTTATTCAAGTCTATTAATATAATAATGAATATGTGTCTTCATAAATGAACGAAGGAATAATAAGAATGTAGGAAACATTTCTTTAATATCAATTTCTGAGAAGTATATTTTCTTCTGATTTCTTTATTTTCTTCCATTTCTGTTAGTTATTACTGAAATATTATTGATTAATTCAAGTCTATTTACATATTAAAGAATATGTATCTTCATAAATAAACGAAGGAATAGTAAGAATGTAGGAAATATTTCTTTAATATCAATTTCTGAAAAGTAAATTTTCTTCTGATTTCTTGATTTTCTTCCATTTCTGTTGATTATAACTGGAATATTATTGATTAATTTTATTCTATTAACGTATTAATGAATATGTATCTTCATAAATGAACGAAGGCACAGTAAGAATGTAGGGACATTTCTTTAATACCAATTTTTTGAGAAGAACATTTTCTTTCTGATCTCTTAATTTTCTTCTGTTTCTGTTGATTCTTGCTGGAATATTATTGATTATTTAAAGTTTGTTAATATACAAATATCTGCATGCATAGGTCAATGATGGAATGGTAATAATATAGGAAACATTTCTTTAATATCAATTTCTGAGAAAAACATTTTCTTCTGATTTCTTAATTTTCTTCCATTTATGTTGGTTATTACTGGAATATTATTGATTAATTCAAGTCTATTAACATATTAAAGAATATGTATCTTCATAAATGAACGAAGGAATAGTAAGAATGTAGGAAACATTTCTTTAATATCAATTTCTGAGAAGTATATTTTCTTCTGATTTCTTCCATTTCTGTTGGTTATTACTGGAATATTATTGATTAATTCAAGTCTATTAACGTATTAAAGAATATGTGTCTTCATAAATGAACGAAGGAATAGTAAGAATGTAGGACGGATTTCTTAAATATCAATTTCTGAAAAGTACATTTTCTTCTGATTTCTTGATTTTCCTCCATTTCTATTGATTATAACTAGAATATTATTGATTAATTCAAATCTATTAATGTATTAATGAAAATGTATCTTCATAAATGAACGAAAATGAGAGAAGCAGGCAACCACCACCGAGGATACGAACACCGAGTAGAGCCCACAGTAAGAATGTAGGGAACATTTCTTTAATACCAATTTTTAGAGAAGAACATTTTCTTTCTGATCTCTTAGTTTTCTTCTATTTCTGTTGATTCTTGCTGGAATATTATTGATTATTTAAAGTTTGTTAACATACGAATATCTGTCTTCATAGGTGAATGATGGAATGGTAATAATATAGGAAACATTTCTTTAATATCAATTTCTGAAAAGTACATTTTCTTCTGATTCCTTGATTTTATTCCATTTCTGTTGGTTATTACTGGAATATTATTGAATAATTCTATTAACATATGTGAATATGAATATGTATTTTCATAAATGAACAAAAGAATGGTAAGAATGTAAGAAACGTTTCTTTAATATCAATTGTTGAATAGAACATTTTCTTTCTGATTTCTTAATTTTTCTTCCATTTCTGTTGATTACATCTGGAATATTATTGATTAATTCTAGTCTATTAACATCTTATTGAATATGTGTAGGAAATATTTCTTTAATATCAATTATTGAGAAGAACATATATATTATTCTGAGAATGATGTCAAAGTGAATCTTCGTAGGCGATCGAGAGATTCGTTTCATCGACACCGATTTCGGCGAAGAACGTTTCCTCTTTTTCTCCTCTTCACATCATCATAATCTCTTGTGTTTCTCTCGATTTTTCGTGCTCGTCGCGCTGTTTTTGTTTTTCTTTTTTTTTTGGGTAGGTTGAGGCGAGGAGCTTGAGATTTTGTGGTCCCACGGTGAGTGGGCGGCATCGCATTCGGTTCTTCGGTGATAATCACAGCACACGGCATGCGGAGCCGAAGATGAAGAAGAAGTGCTGAAGGAGGAAGAAGAATAAGAAGACGAAGCAGCAGTAGAGGAGAGCAAAGCGTGGTGTGGACGAAGAAGGAAGGAGTAAATTGGTGGGAACCTTCGGCTCCGGCATGTGTAATGGCTCATGAAAATGAGAGAGGCAGGCAACCACCACCGAGGATACGAACACCGAGTGGAGCCCACTTAATGATAAACCACTGCTGCACACACTCACATATCAATGCATGTGCTAAATTATTTTAATTTCTGCTATAGTTAAAAGCTCTTGTTCTGCTGCTTCCCATGAAAACCGAAGAGTATTTGGTCCACCAATTACCATCGTTTTTGGTAACGACAACAATTGTTTCTTCTTCAAAAGAAAGATCGCATTATTCCTTGTTACAGCAGAAAGAGAGAGACAGAGAGTAATTATGAAAAGAGTGATTGTGCATGCGAGATATTTATATTTCGGTCCCTCCTACATCTGGAATCACGATCACATTATAGATACGATCAAATTATAGAGCAATTTAATTTTATGATATATATCCTATAGGCCTATATGGGTATATAGATGTGTGTATATTGGCTTGTCTCGTGTTTGTATCTTCACATGTGAAACCTCCACCACCCCCAAACAACAACAACAACAAATTTAAATTGCATCCAAATCTAAACTTAAACGTCTCTGTTATTTTTGTTGTTTGTCCATTAACAAGTAATTAGTGCTAATGCGGAAT